TGTCATTGCATTATATTAGGCGCATCTCCATGCTTGTCATACACCCATGCTCATCAAGGCTGCAAAATTCTGTTGGCCATATCTACGTTCGCGCTGAGTATAAACCACATGGAACCCCGATAGGAAAATCATCTTCCAACCCCCCAACAAGTTGGGGACTTGGCAAATGTCCCATGGGCATGTCGTTTTTAATTGGGAATCAAGCCTCATAAAATTGCCATGTGAGTGGGAAAATATATGACAATAATCCCTTCGAATTGGGAGTATTCCATTTTCAGACAAGCCCATAATTTACCGGTATCTAGATTTATCCAATGATATCCCCATTTTATCAATTTTAACCCATCATTTTTGTTGGCTACAGTAAATCCAGCCAGTTCATCATATGTCCCCAATTTTTGTTGGGAAAAGCCTTTTGATCCTGGCCATGCCGGATTTCCCACTGGATTGTGGCTATCATAATTTCTTTTTTCGGATAATATAAGCCAATATGATAATGAATCAATATTCAATGATCACTTGTCACTTGTATCCACTTGTTGATGAGCCAAAAAAAACCTATGAAATGACGAACTAATCCTCAACCAACAGGGGTTTTTTCGAGCCACTCATCTTTTCCACCAAGTCTGCCCACCTTCTCCAAGATATCCTCCCGGCCAGCCGCCCGCAGGCGATACTCTGAAAACCAGTCGTACAACCTACCCGCGAATGTCGCGGCGAAGCCATGACCCGCGAAGCAATGGCTCCACAGTGGTTGAGAACAAAATTCATAGAAATTCCACAGAGAAACTTGAAACATGTTGAAAATGTTGAAAGAGATCAAAATGATCAAAAACATTCAAAAACATTCAAAAACCATGGCTTTTCCTGTAGAATTCTCGGATGACAACCCCGTGCCCGTTGGAGTTCGCTGGAGCGAGGCCCCGGAGTTGGGGCCCCGCACCAGTCAAAAAACTCACCCACCAACGGTAGTGTGGTGATCTCGTACACCTGTCATGGCGCCTTTTGACCCAATGATACCTGGTTTATTGACCTGGTGATTTTGATCTGTAGGTTTTTGGTTTTTGGATTGGTTTATTGGTTTGGTATGTTGAAAAAAACCCAATTCTGTAGGTTTTTGGATTGGTTTGGTATGTTGAAAAAAAAAACAATGCTGAGTACGCTTGCAAAATCGACCATTCGCATCGGTGTTTCATCTTTTGATATCGTTTGTCATCGGTTCAGTCATGTTAAATCACTGGGGTCTTGGTTCAGGGTTCCCACATTGTTGAACCACACACCTGTGATCTGAAAGTCCTCGCTCTTTTTTTTGTCTGCTTTCGCAAGGTGTTCAATTCGCGTGTGATGTCAGCGCCAGGTTTTTTCCGGCGCGGCACAGCCACTGCACTACTTTGGTGTTTCATGCGGCCAACGCCAATGTTGGTGCACCAACGATGGAACCACTCCATCCCGGTGAACCGATAGGGTCCAACACGTGGACATCCAAAAACCCAGCGATTCATGGTCCATTCTCCAGTGGTTCAGCGCGAAAAGTCGTCTTCCCGGGACCCTTTTTTGGTGGGTCCAGGGGTCCGGGTTTTAAGGTGTCCATTTCTTGGACCTTCCCTCCTGGCAACGCTACGCCCCTGGGACCCTCAGCCCCTCAAAGCTCAACACCACGCGCCCTGGCCTGTGCTGTTAGTGGTGGTTGATCAGTGAAAAGCCCAGGAAAAGTGATTTTCAGGCTTCATAAATGGAGATTTCACCAACCAGGAATGGGCATTACCAACAAAAGACATGGTGTTGGATGCAACCAACTTGAACCAGAACATTACTCTGAATAGTTCGTGATATCAAGCATACAGTGTCCAGGGCGAGCCGACAGGAAAAGGATTTTGGTGGATGGTCACAGCCACATTGAAAAAGCGCTTTAAGATATGTCAAAGATCTGGATTGCAGATATGTCAAACATCATCAATCATCATTTTCCATCACCATCTTAGGTGATTGGTTCATCATAATATATCATAATCATCATCTGTATTATCACCAAAGTGATTATAATCGTAATAATACATCGAAATATATCATAATCATCTACCAAACATCATAATCATCATAACCATAATACGTGCGATTGGTTCATCACCATCTTCCCTAAATTGTTTCATAGAGCGCCTCTTCGAGCTCTCGCGCTTCTCGCAGGTCTTCTAAGTAGGCCTCTTCGTGGGTTTAATTGGGGTGGTTGGGGAGGTTATCCCTAAACTAGTGATTCGTTACTATTATATTTACTATTAAAATCTGTGGGCCTCTATTAATAAACTGGGGCGTTGGGAAGATGAGGAGAAACCATGAACTTCAGTGGATGGAACAGGGGCTTCCCCCTGTATCATGTTTTTCAGTCAAACCCGAATAGGCCGAGACATAGGGGCCTTTGGGGTCCCGAAAATGACCCAACAATCCTGACTTAGACACTTAGTAGAGTAACTTGGCACATGAAACCACAGTCTTTCAAAGCAGTAGTATGGGTCAAGAATACTCAATCGCCTAGAGATTGAGTAGCATGTGGGTAGAAAGCCAAACCTTTTTTTTGAGTTTAAAACAAAAGTCCCTCACCAATTCAAAGAAAATAGTTCCTTGTTTGCGACCAAGTCTTCTTATTCAACTGGCAAAATCACGGAAAGCGGGCCGGTGCGCACTGCATCAAAAGTCCATCCCAGCCGCAACCATGGGCGATTACAGTATAATTGCAGCCATCATGGGGAAATAATCTATATTCATCATTATTCATCTATATTCCATTTCATATATATATATATGTCTATCGTCAGATATTCGCCATGTATATAGTCATAAGAATTCCCAAATCTGAAATGAAGCCATTTTTCGGAACGTCCCAGGTGTCGCACCCAGGTCAAGACGCAAATGATGAAGACCAGAAGGATCAGGCCACAAATCAGCCTCAAAGCCACATCCAAAAATCGCCATGGTTCTGTGAAAAAAATGTGGGAAGCCAAAATACTATGTTGGTTTTCAGTGGGTTAGTTTAACTGCAATGAAGATCCGCTGTCGAAACATCGCACCCAAGAAGCAGCCTTTAAGAATCTGTTGGCTGATATCCCACATCACATCTTTCTTGGTGATCCCCCCATATACTTCTTTGGTGATATATTAATATGTGATATGATATGGGTATGGGTCAAAACCCTGGTACACCTCTCTTCACATCCATGGCCATCCACTGGGGGCGCGGATGTCGTAGGGAAACCCTCCAAGGTGCTGACCCCCAAGCATCAGACCACCTGCAAAGGGCACTTCAAACTGGGAGCCAAGGATTCATGAATTCATCTGGGATCCCTGGCTGCCATAAACCCTACCAGTTTGACATCGTTTGAATCCCACCCATAAAAATGCTGATATTCGGGATGGTTTATGACGGTTTACCACATTAATTAGCCCAGTCCAACATGGAACCAGCAAACAAAATGTCGACTTTTGCTGGTTCCATGGTTTCACTCACTTGGCATTTTCCAGTTGGAAAATTATGAAAAGCCAACTTTCGACCAAGTCAAGTTGGAAAAAATTTGGCCACTGCCACCTGAAAGGCTCATCGGGTGGACAATCATCATGATCGTAGTCATCGTAGCTGGGTGCCTCACTTTCAGCTGCGTAGAACTGGATTTGTGTAAGGCAACAAATATAGGGAACCCCAATATTTCATAGGGAAACAAACACCGTTTCTTGTGTTCCCCTAAATCCAGTGATGTTGGCGACCCACACAGTTGGTTGGTGTGTTGCAGTACGGTGTCTATATCACCATGAATGTTGACGTCATGAGCAGTTTGGTTGCTATCCTTAGAGTTGGTTTCAGGACAGCTCAGGTGGGCACTGGTCTCCGAATCACTTCCTTCCTGAGCTGGGAGTGCCATCTCCTTTTGGTGAACCCAGGTCTTTGAATCCAGGGACATCTCAATTCTGGATGCATCACCTCAATGGAGAAAATCTTCACCGAAAACTGCGGCAAGTTTTCCTATCGTCAATATCTCAAAATTTAAGGGAAAAAAAAAACCTTCCATCCACTGGTTTATCATCATTTTCTCAACATAAGAATCGCCACAACTGAGGGTATTGATATGTATTCATCCCCCATTTTTAGACTCACGACAAATTGGATATAGTTGGTTATATTTATATTATACATATATATATATACATACATAGTCATATAGTTGGCTACTACACCTATTTTTTAATTATATATATATATGCACTATATCACTATATTGATGATATGTATATATACATATATAATTATATATACATATATAATTATATAATTATATATACATATATAATTATATAATTGTACGTATAATATTATATATACATATACCCCACATTACCCCACTATATCCCAATGGATCTCCCGTTAAATCTCCGATTTTCGCCGTTAAATAAGACGCAGCCACTTTGGGGATCACCTACCCAACATCTCACACCACCAGTTGGACCCACCTTTCGCTCTTCGTTGGAGGCTTCATAGAGCGGCTACCACCTGCCATGGCGTAGGGGGACCCTCGGATTTAACCAAAAACTGAAAATGAAATAAAATGAATGGGATATTGACGGGGCTGGGTAAATTATAATATTTCACGAACCTGAATGGTTCGGCCATTTTGGGGATGAGTTCCCTAACATAAACCATGATTCCAGTGAGGGAGGTCGCAGCGAGGTCTTTATCATTTATCCAAATGGGGAATATAGCATGCAGCATGGGACAAGTAACCAAGTACATGCGTTCATGGGGAAGTGGGTCTCCAATTTGGGTGCCTCTGAAAATGGAGAATTCCCCCCAAATGATCATTTTTTGTTGGGGATGTGATGACTGACATATGGACGGAGCCGGATTTTTCCCCAAACATGCGTCATTCGTTGTGGCCCCCAATGAACCTTTCTAGGTCTGCGAAACTCAAGCCATTGGTAATTCACCGTGGTCACTGTGCCGGTGAATCCCAAAGATCCAAATTCATTTGGCCTGTAAAAGGGTCCATTTGAATCTGACTGATTAGGAATCAACATATTGCAACCCAAAGTTGCCATTCAAATGGGAAAAATGATGAATCCTTTCGAACTGGGATTTCCCACAAAGTTTCAGACCGCAGTTTGACATGCTGAGTTTCTTACTGCGCTCAGCGCGTCTCAAACTCACCCTCAGCAGCCCAGGAGAACTGCCGAACTAAAACCCATAGGATCCATGTATGCTATATATGGTAACATTTACCATCAATATACCCCAAATGTTAGCATATATACCATACATGGATCCTATGGGAAATGGAATGATTCACAAAATCTCGGGCTGCTTTGGAAACAGTTGAAATAAAAATGACCCAAAGTCCGTGGCTTCGCAAGTTTCCAGGGCCAGACATGGACCCCCAGCCATGCTTTTTGCCAGAATTGAACAGGGGCAGGCTGCAGAAATGTGCCGACTGAGGAGTGAACGAAGCTTCCTCCTGGATTAACAATGGAAAGTCCCAAAGCATACACACTACCACGTTTGAAGTTTGAGGTGCAATTCACCAAAAAAAGGGGTGCATGAAATATGGCCTCATTGGTTTTATGAGAATAATAAGATACCACATCCCTCATTCCTCATCTCATCGTCAAGAAAAATCAGTTTCGGCATGAAAATGAGTATAAATCCTACATTTTGTGGCCAACTCTAATTTCAAACCATGCCGGAACCATCCATTCCCACCCTGTGATTCGCAGCATGTCCTTCTCATTCTCGTCCTCCGCACGAATCAGGGGCGCGCTCGCAAGGTCCTGGACCATTTACAATGAGGTCTGAAAGGTCTACCATGTTTTGTGAACCATGTATAACCATGTAAGACCCTGGGCCCCCAGGTCTACCCATTCCAAACTTCAAGTAGTTGGGGGTATCCTATCTGGATGTGGTGAAAATCTCTGAAAAATGTAGGGAACAAAACGCCAAATCCCACGGTGTATCATGATGTGTCCAAAATCAAACGCAGGTTAGTAACCCTGGTTCATCAGTCCCCATTCAGTGGGTTATCCCATCGATAAGATGGTTGTAAGTGTGGTTCTTGCACACTTCCTATGTGACTATGTGGAATGATCCTTCAAGTAAAACATGTCGGTTGTAGCAACCCCCAAGAAATCATAGAAAGCTGGAAACCTGGAAATTATGGAGGAAAATATCATCTACGTATACTGACGTATACCATCCTGGAAATGCTGTCCTATCTTTTTGGGGCTTACTACAGTTATATCACTTATTATGGCTATATTCCATTCTATCCCCATGTGAAAATGCTATAGATATTTTATTCCATTCTATGTCCATTCTATTCCCATTATATCAGTTATATTCCATTCTATCCCCATATTTCATTTTAGGACGAAACCACTGATTTCCCCCTGCAAAGTCCAGTCATTGGGACGTCCCCGTGCTTCGGAAGAGCCGCCTCCACCAGGGACAGGTCGGGCTCCTGCTTCTCCGCCATCGGCACCTCACGGAAGTTGGATATGAATTGGAAGGTTGGTGATGATTATTATTAATCATTATCAATTAGTATTATATAAGTATCATTATTAATTGTTGTTAATCATTGATAATATTGATTGAGTATTAATTAAGATTAGTGTTATTTGGAAAATGGTGATGATTAATAATAGTGATAATAATAATTAAATAATATATAATTGTAATATAGAGGTATCGATAATGAGATAATAATACTAACTAGAATATTAATAAATAGTGAAATAGTAACAAATATGTAATAACAACAATAATCAAAAATGATAGTCAATAATAATGAAGAATATTTGGTTAATATCATGATACCAATAATAATTGATAATAGTTTACACTCGATTTACAATATATAATTAACAAAAAATACCGCAGCAATCATGATACTGAAAATTATCTAATTATCATGATTTTCGTTCTCATTGTTGATGCATGTTGATGCTATGATCATTATCGTTGTGATTATTATCATTATAGAACTACTGTTGCTCTCACATACTCTGATTGTGGTTCTGTAATTACTAGCTAGCATTACCAAGGGAAATGTGAATTAAATTCCAATCATCATTCCCCCAATAACCCCCAAACATCCTCACCTATGGTTTCTGACGGGTGCATTTAATATCAGAGGGTGTGATTACTGTGGGGCGGCTTCGAGTCATTCAAAAAAAAGTGGCCAAGTGGCAGCATCTCGCACCATCCACCAAAATATGTTTAGAGGAAGTGAACTAATGGACCAATCTGCAAGAAAATGCTGGCCATACATGAAAAAGGTGAACATCGATTTTGAAATCTCAGTTTATATGATCTGATCAAATTCATCCCATTTCTGGTGCCAGGAATCGACAAAGAGCGCCCAACAGATTTTACAACCCAGCTCCCAATTCAGTCGCCTTTGCCCGCAAACAACTGAGCTGGTTGGAGCCAGTGCGGGGCGGCAGGGCGCCACAATCCGCCATTTTTGATAATGGTCAATGGGCCATTTTCCATCACTATGCTTAGTTTACTGGTGATATACTGATATACCTTTTAGGCACACAAATTCAGACACCCCAATGAAATTCCGCTTCGAATTGGTTCAAATTTTGCAGGCAATCCCGACAAATTTGGATGGCTCAGTTCCTGGTTTCAATCAGATTTTCGCCCAAACCAAGCCAGTGAAGAAGGGGATTCACAAACAAAATGTGGTAATGTGACCAAAGATGTAGGTCTGTCCAGAATCATGAGACTCTCAACATCCACAAAATCATTTGTTCCTCAATGAGATGTTTTTGATTGGGGGAAACCACTCTTAGGAAATCCACCATTTGTGCTACGGAAACCTCTCAACTTGAGCGCAACATGTCAGGCTGGCCCACTGCATTCCGACAATGCTGTAGATTCTGCGGAACACATCCATTCCAGCAATAACCTTGCGGAACTGGTTGCTAATCGAGGAACCGACTTGATAAGAACATGTTGCGACATGTTGCGACATTAGCAAGTAGGTTCAGAACATTTGGCCCAAGCCCTTGATGAGTTTGGAGTACTTTTAGAGTCACCTTAAACATCTCCGGAACTTCTGAGTTCCGGGTCTCAAACTTCAACGTCTAGAACCACACACAAATCGGTCCTGGCCTCACCATCTCGAGTCACGGCATGAATGTGTCTCATGCCATCCTGCAATTCAGAATCAGCCGATTCTGGCTGGGCAAACCATTCAGCAACCTCGGGGGATGTCTCAAAATTGCCATGGTGGGGTATCCCAGTATCCTCTCATTTTGAGACAAACCCATTTCGGGGGGATTGTATCCCATTCAACAGATGTAACATTGTATGGTGAGGTTGCAGTTGGGGTCCCTATGAGCGACAAATGGACAGCGTCTCCTTGTTGGCTTTCCTCGTCGTCGTTGGTTGTTATGTGCTACGGACAACATCCCCCATGAGGTGGTTTAAGGATATTTACGGCTGTTGACCAGTTTCCGCATTAAAAATGGTACGCCCCCGGACGTTGCTCCACACTTACAATCGTCATGACCATCATCATCATCATCATCATCATCATCATCACCATCACCATCACCGTCATCATAATCATCATCACCTTCATGAGGGGTCAAAATTCGCCACCCCCTCTGAACAATATGTTAGTTGAGGTAATAACATCAACTTTATTTTCATGAGGGATCAAAATTCGCCACCCCCTATGAGCAATATGTTGGTTGGGGTAATAACATCATCTTTATCTTCATAAAGGATCAAAATTCGCCACCCCTATTGGCAATATGTTGATTGGGGTAATAACATCATCTTTATCTTCATAAGGGATCAAAATTCGCCACCCCCTCTGAACAATATGTTAGCTGAGGTAATAACATCAATTTTATCTCTATGAGGGATCAACATTCACCACCCCCTCTGAACAATATGCTGGCTGGGGTAAAAACATCAACCTTATCTTCATGGGGGATCAAAATTTGCCACCCCCTATGAACAATATGTTGATTGGGTAATAACATCAACTTTATCTTCATAAAGGATCAAAATTCGCCACCCCTATTGGCAATATGTTGATTGGGGTAATAACATCATCTTTATCTTCATAAGGGATCAAAATTCGCCACCCCCTCTGAACAATATGTTAGCTGAGGTAATAACATCAATTTTATCTCTATGAGGGATCAACATTCACCACCCCCTCTGAACAATATGCTGGCTGGGGTAAAAACATCAACCTTATCTTCATGGGGGATCAAAATTTGCCACCCCCTATGAACAATATGTTGATTGGGTAATAACATCAACTTTATCTTCATAAAGGATCAAAATTCGCCACCCCTATTGGCAATATGTTGATTGGGGTAATAACATCATCTTTATCTTCATAAGGGATCAAAATTTGCCACCCCCTCTGAACAATATGTTAGTTGAGGTAATAACATCAACTTTATCTCCATGAGGGATCAACATTCACCACCCCCTAGGGCCCCCTATGAGCAATATTTTGATTGGGGTAATAACATCAACTTTATCTTCAAAGTTTGCCACCCTCTATGAACAATATGTTGATTGGGGTAATAGCATCAACTTTATCTTCATGGCCACCTGAAGTCAGACGCGGAGCAACGTCAACGAACTGGTAAAACAAATTTATGTGCCATGGTCAAGTTACATGGTACGAGGTGTATGGCCGCACCATCATTGGGGATTCTCAACAAAATGGGTAATCATAAGATATCAGAAGAAATACCCTTTTTATGATGGATTATAATTTATAATGGATTCATGACAATCCCCCAATATGGGTTAAAGCAAATTCAACTTTTTGTGGTTGGTTATATTGACCGGATGTCCCCAGAAAATCCCATGAACTCCCTATTTTGCTTAGTGAAATCCAACTCTTGCCCATTCTACATCTCTGATTTACCCGGTCCTCAAAGACAACTCCTCCACAAAGATCCGGATCATAGTCTGCGGCGCTGGGACATGCTGGGATGGCGAAAAAAAACAGTGGGATGTGGGGGTGGGAATCTGAAGTCATTGTTTCACGGTTGAACTGCTGGCCATCATCAAATGGAGGTTTCCTAAGTCATGTGGATGCGCCCAAAGGCATCCAGTCGTCATGACCATGACTTAGTACCAAAAGAACTTGAAACATGTTGAAACTTTCGTGGTGACGACTGGGGATCCATGACTTCAGAAACCCCCGAGGTCTCAACATGTCATGGCTGAGATTTGGCACCTGGATCGTGCAGATTGGTAAAGGCGACTAAACCTTGGTACTGGGGGTTCTCATCCATCCTCTTCTGCAGAAACTCGACCTCCCGGAGCTTGCCGAGGGTTCTTATCGCTGAAAAGGTCAGAAGATATCAGAAGTGTCCAGAATTGCGGCAAATTTCGGCATGTTGAAGGAAAATCTTACGAGATACTTAATATACAGTCATATATACGTAATTAATAACAATTATGATTCCAACAATTCAGCAGAAATCACGATGAACATTTGATCCAGGATGTTGCTGCAGTGGTGAATGGCGCTGAATGGCACAATGTTCAACCCAGTTTGGCGCCCAGTAGCTCTGCTCCAAACCCTCAAAAGGACAAACGACAAGAAGGATGGGAGCTCAGCGGGTTCAGATGTTCCCAAGTTAAGGGTGACGTGATCGAACAGACTTGAAAACACCGTTGATAAATACAGTTTCACCGTGATCATGCGTGTTCCTCATTCATGCAAAGGGAACCTGCAACATTTCATGTGGAAAAGGCTCGGTCACACAGGTTGAATGGCTATGTGTGTTGGACCCCGAAATTTTGCACATCATTTTGGAACCTTGTGAAGGGGCCCAAGGGGCCTGCTTCATACATGATGGGCAGTCTCCGTCATAGAGGAGGTTGATCACCCAGCGGTCATCCTGAAGGTGGAGGGGTCACGGCCGCAGGGCAACCACGGGGTGAGATCAAGGGACCCAAGTTGACAAAAAAAGTCTGTTGTGGTTGTGTGGTTAGAGATGTCTCATCAATAGTCAAAATATATTTCAAGATGCTTTAAGTATGTCTCAGTATGATTTAAAACGGCATATTTTTCGTTCTAAGCCAATCTAAGGCATGTGTGAAGATACTTCAAGTGTGTGGTGTCAAGGGAAAAAGTGTAGCTATGAGCCCAAGTAGAACCAATAGGCATAAAAGGTGGGGATCATATCAACATCACATACACTATCCATGTTGACATATGCTGAATGCTGACTAATATATATATATAATTCCTTTTAACAATTAAACTTAATATCATGGAAAATCCTTCTACCACTGGGGGTACCCCCATGACTTAGGAAAACCTCTAAGTCACTAACTTTGGAGCTATCGCTTCTGGAGATCCAAACCCCCATCGCCTGGAGATGCATCAGCGACGCGTCAACGTCACCTGGGCAACAAAGGTGAGGGCTGATGGCTGTTGACCAGCCAAAATGCTACGGAAAACCCTCTGGTAATCCACCGGCCTGCCGGCGTGTCTGGTGGACCTTGCCTGTTCGTAGTTGTACTGTCTGTTCTGTCTTTGTCTTTGTCTAGACTTTCCCCTTGGCGCAGATTTTTGTCAACTCTGTCCATGCCTCGCTCCACACCGGCTTGGTTTTTACATTTTGCTGTCATTTCGCTGGTTGTTGTTTCCGTAATTTTTGTTGTGTTTGCCGTCAGTTTGCTCCGTCGCTTCTTATATCCAATACCTGATCCACTGGTTTTTGTGCCGAACACCTTTTACACGCATTATTTTTCTATGTATGGCCTTTTCCAAAACCCTGGTTTGAACAAAAACCATGTTTTTACGTCAAAACCGTCTTTTACACAAAGCGATGTTTTACACAAAAACCGTGCTATACACAAACACCATGTTTTACAAAAAAACATGTTCTCGCTGGGCCTGTGCAAGTGCTGTTTGCGGCTTGCAGGATAGTTCTTTCCATGGTGGCCGGCGGAACACGCCGAAGGCAGTTAAATTTCACGTGGTTATGGAAAATAACCATTTTGAATCAAAGGATTAAAGCATCTATACATTCTATAAACGGGCAGTTTTCCATACATACGAGTATGCTGTTAGATTGCAGGAGGGTAATATGATTATGATTTCTCCCGCAAATAAGGAAGGCTTGAAATTACTCAACCAACCAGAAACAAGAAATACACCCTTGTACACCCCTGAGCACCAATGCGGCATCCCAAACAATGCCTTTGGAAGTGTTCTTCTTTGATTACCAGATGGTAAAATGAAACTGGTCCATCTTTTTCGGGCTGCAAACCAGAGAAAAAGTGGGGGTCCCGGCTGTCTGCCGATGGTAGGGAGGCTGCTTCAGATTCCTGAAGCCCACGTGGATGATCATCCCATCTGAACTGCTGAGTGACCATTGTTATCATTCATAAATCATTTAGTATACTATATATGTATAATTATGTATATATAAATGTGTGTGTGTGTTTATATATAATTTAAAAACATATATATCTAAATGTGAGGTTGTCCGTTTACTTGGAATATGGAATTGGAAATTTTGGTGTTCCCCGGGGCATCCTGGGAATGATTTGAATCCCTTTACTTAGAATATAGTTGATGTCAAAAACCTGTACTTGGAATACGTGGGGCCGGACAAGGAATTCCTATTTAAATTTAAATTGAAAGAGGAGCCCGGGATCACGGTCTTAAGTGGGGCCGGATAAGGAATTCCTACTTTAATTTAAAGTAGGCGCGGGTGACTTGGGACTATGGTGTCTATTTAGCCCAGCTTTTTTTGGACATGACATGGGATTTATGTAACATTTTAGCTATGGCATGGTTTTATATACACATGACATGGTAGTTATGCGCTTGCCTACCGGGCAGGGATGTTCCCCTTTTTTTGACACATGACATGGGAAGATTTGAGAAGAATCTTAGGACTTCCAGGAAACACACCTGCAAACCCTTTTTCTCCCTCGTCGAACGCAGCTTTGAATTGCTCTCAAGAGTGGGGTGGGGAGGGTTTGGGAAGGCTCAAAATGAAGCATGGGGAAGGGGGTTTAGGAAAGGTCAAAACGAACCATGAAATGGGGTTTGGGGGGTTTCATGGTTCCCAAGAGTGGAATGGCAAAGGTTTGGGAAGGCTCAAAATGAAGCATGGGGAGGGGGTTGATAGGAGGGTAATTTAATTTGGGATTTTTTGGGGGGGGGTGGTATTGTTTTTTTTTTCTCCTCTCCTGGTGGCTTCTGTGGCTCCTGGTGGCTCCTGGTGGCTTCTGCGGCTTCTGTGGCTTCTATGGCTTCTATGGCTCCTGGCTCCTAGAGCTCCTCGCTCCTATGGCTCATTTATCATCTATCGATCAATCTATCAGTGAAGCATGTTCACCAGGTGCATGTTGTGCATTAGATACACTATATATATATATATCTATCTATATACCACTATATATCTATATACCACTATATATCTATATATCTGTATATAAGGTTGCCTGGGAAGACGCTTTAGCTGATTCTGCCCATACCCCCTTCCTGTTTTCTTATTGAGGAAGGAAAGAAAATGTGAGGAAAATGATGAAAAACCAAAGAAAAAGTAATGGAAAACGAGGAAAAAGTGAGGGAAGTGAAGGAATAAGAAAAAATAATGGAAAACGAGGAAAAAGTGAGGAAAATGATGAAAAACCAAGGAAAAGTAATGGAAAACGATGAAAAAGTGAGGAAAATTATGAAAAACCAAAGAAAAATACTGGAAAACGAGGAAAACGTGAGGAAAAATGAAGGAAAACCAATGAACAACCAAGGAAAAGTAATGGAAAACAAGGAAAAAGTGAGGAAACCGTGCCCACGACCAAAAAAAAAAACAAGAAAAAAAAATCCCCAAAAAAATCCGCACCCAGGGGGTTGGGCTGCCCATGCGTTCCAAGAATGGGGTGGGAAGGGTTAGGAAAGGTCAAAACAAACCATGACAAGGGGTTTGTGTTTTTCAAGGTTCCCAAGAGTGGGGTGGGAAGGGTTTGGAGCAACCTAACTGTCAAGTCTACAAGTCTACAAGTTCATGTGCACATTGATTGGCCATGGGGACTAGCTAACTATGCTAATTTCTGGCTTCCACCAAGGGTCTCTTTTAGCACTTTGCGAAATCAGCTGCTTTTTGTCACGCGGTGCGGTTGGGTCAAGGAATACCCCACTGGCAACCCAAGCAACCCATTCCATCAATACCTGAATTGTAGTGGGGGTGTACCATCCTTACTAACCAGGTCGCCAACCCTCACCCATCAGACCCTGGGAAACCCAGTAAGACCGGGTCCTCCGCAGAAGCCTCCGCATTCACGATCTCAATTTCATCGCGCGCAAAGTGTGCGTTAAAGGCCTGGCGTTTCATCCGCGCACCGAGGATGCTGAGATGGACATGACATCTACCAATGGTGAACATGGCGGGGGGTATAGTATAACTTGCTCATTATGATCTTGATAAGGGATCCCACGTGGAAGTATCATACCAGTGCGGGCTGTCAGCATACATGGTTCCAGGAACAACCATCTTCAGGAAGGAACCAAGGGAAGAAACAATGAATAGATGGTTCATGATGGTTCAGATCCCGTTAAGATCCTGGTTCTGGCGAGGACAAGTGGTCATGTTGAAAGTCCACTTGTTTTGCTCGATGTTCACAGTATGAACCACCTCAAGCGCCAACTGGAGCAAACATTTAAAATGTTTGGGGGAACCTCTTCACCATCGTTAGGGAACAAGACAAAATGCTTTGGATCAGAACCGCTTTTTTAAAAGATGTCAGACCATGAAATTGACGCTCTCCCCAATCTCAACCAGCATTTGTTCACCTCTATTGGCAATCTTCAGTGGCACAAAAGTCTCCAACTGTCACCCCAGTGCCAGGGCCTTGAACTTCTCTGTCTGTGCAGGGGCCTGGGAAACCAGTGCCATACAGTCATACCATCTCAACTCTGGGAAAATTGGGTTTCACCGACAAAATCAGAGCCACACACCAACCAGCTGAGGAAAGAAACCAGCGAACCCACAGGAACTTGGGTATGTTGTACTCCCTTTTATAATCTTTTCCGCACATACGGATTGGTTGATATCACCTTTTTTATTGGTAAAAGCAATTGTTAAAACTTTAAAACCACATTTCTGCTGGTTAAAGCCACTTTAGTGTTGTTTCTTCAATTCAAATCTGCAACTTTTCTATCTCTCTGCGCAGCCCCATGACGCAACTCTGGGCCTTTGTCAGCTTAACGAGGACGGGTCGGTTTGGCGTCAGGTGAATGTCTTCGATCACCGACATCTCAGTAGCGGTAGCAGAGCCAGGCTGACTATCTTCAACTGTGAGGGTTTTGTAATGGTTTATTCACCACCAACAAGCACTATCGGGTGGTTAATAAACCCCCCTCTATAACCCTCTGCTTATTTATCAGATTGTTTTTTAAATGGTTTATCGACCAAAAAGTTTATAACATGTTATGACCATCTGTCATTGTGTGGTGACCTTTGGCAGAAAGGAAACTCGGCCGTCAAGTCTTGAACCGCCAAAGATGGAGGACAAACCCATCTTGCCATTGAACCAATTCCAGGCCTTGTTTTGGGCGAGTTCTCAGGAGGTACCCCCCTACAATCCCAACACCCTTGGATTTCGAAGTTGGGAAAAAAACTGTACATCCCGACTCAACCCATGAAATGTGTACATGTCAATGTGTTTTAGTAATTTGTTATGTGCGGATGCTATGTACCTCCATCACTATGTCTGCAAATACACCCCCATCACCGTTTTTTTAAGAAATTGTTTCGTTTAGAAGCGATAGGGATCTCTCACAGCTTCGGAAAGCAGGCAGCTGGGTTGACGCACCACCTCTCCTTCCAACCCTTGAGGGTTGTAAGGCTTCCTCAGGTCCAATGGGATAAACCAGCTCGATGGAACTCGAAGTCGAGGCGCTGGTGATACCCAACACATGCCAACATTACGTGTATATATAATATATATATATACCTGAATAGGTGTATATATATATATGCTATATGTATAATGCATGTGTATATACACATAGCATATATATATCTATATACATATACATATACATATACATATATATATATGTATACATATACATACATATATATATATATACACATACATACATACATACATACATACATACATATATGTATACATATATATATATATGGAGCATGTGTGTGTGTGCATATATATATTGGTGTATGTATACATTTATATATATATATATATGTCATGTGTATATATGTACGTCTAATTATGTATAGATGTAGGTGTAATTAGTTATGTATATTATATAGCTGTATTATGTATATTATATATATATACATACATAGATTACGTATTGTATATTCGTGTATAACACTAGTGGAATGCATATGAGTAGCGGACAAAATTCTTTGTTAAATTTAATGCCATGCGCAAATTAGGGTCGTCCCCCATCGGTTGTGAGGATTTCAGTATTCTCGGTGGTATCACAAATGGGGCATCGGTATAGGGTCATCCCCTATCGGTTGTGAAGGTTTTGTGTAACCTCAGAAAGGCAAAGGCGAAGCAATACTAAATTATATAGTATTACAATAATGTTGTCGGTTGCGCATATGTGTTCTCGGGATACATGACAATGATGACATACAGCCCGAAGAATCTCCACTGAACATCCATCATCCATCGATATCCATCGTATCCATCGTCCACTTCCATGGTTTTTCTGCGGCTCCAGACCCTTTGAAGCCAGGAGCATGCCAAAAGGTGATGTCCTCACTAACCACCTGCAGCCATGGCGCCATGCATGCCATGCTGAGGAACTCCTCACCGAGTTCACCGAGTTCGCCGAGAGTTTTTTGGACGCGCTGACGTGAGACGAAATGGAGATGGAGAGCTCACACATGAAATGGTCAAAAGATGTCAAAAGACCTAATAGATCGGCATCCAAACACTGGCCTTAGGGGTCCTGATCTTGGGGATCTAGTACTACAAGTCAAGGTGCAACCACAGGGTACATAAACCCTTGTATCACTCCTTTCTTTCAGGGTAATAACCACTACTAAGCAAGGGAAAAAGACTATAGCTCCTATTGATGGAGGATGCGACCTTTCTTTTTTACCTGGGTGTAGAAATCGAAGTTTTGACCATGACACGCGGAAAGTTCAGCACTCTCTCAGCTTGGTTCGGGCAACTGCTTTCCACCCATCACCTGGCAGCCGGACGGCCAGATGGTGCAGATGGTGCAACTGCGACTGGGTCTCAAACTTGGTGCCCCAAAACCCTATGGTGTATCATAGTGTATCATAGTTCTCCCAATTCGCATGGCTAGTGACTGGGATGTTTAGGATGTTTGGGTATCCCTTTCAGACCGAAAATCCGTGTTGAGCCGAACATCCCTGCCTTGAATTGAGAGAAGTACTGCTGCTCAATTTGCCTTCAGAGCTCCAAGACTTGGGGCGAGGAGAACTCATCCCTTTCCCCCCTAATGGGCATCCACCGACGGATCGAATCTCATCTTAGGGTCCCGGGGTGCATACAGTATGGTTACTGTAGGGGGATTCCATCTGCTCAGTTTGCACTTCTTAGATCTCTCAAAAAAACGGAAAGACTTTGCAGCTTTGAGGTGCCGCTCTGCCCAGAACTGAGACCAACTTGCACCCTTTGTGGTCATCTTTCAATATTGGGCACCCTTAAAAAAAAAAGTGGAAAAAAGATGAAAAAAGGATGGTTCACTTCCAAAAAAAAACGTCGCAACAGCCAATACCAAACCCTTTCCTCACCTGGCCATGGCATGACCTTCCTCCGGCCTGTCCAGGGGTGGTGACATCTTGCAAGTCTCCAGTTCCACTGGAACTTCATCCGAAAGTGTCAGTTGCGCAAAGGGAAAATCATCCGTACCCTCTGGTAATTTAACATAGCTATTGAAAATGGCCATTTATAGTGAGTTTTCCCATTAAAATTTGTGATTTTCCATAGCTATGTTAAATTACCAGAGGGTACTTCTTTTTGGGTTCAAATGTTGGCTTGGATGCTTTCGATGGAAACTGTTCCTGATACGGCTACTGTACTGGAAGGAGCAGACCAATAGTATGGGCGAAACCTGTTCAACAACCTCGGAATCAAATCAAACCAATATGATAAATATATATATATCATATTATATATGTCCATATCTATTAAGATTATCATCATGATGATTCACGTTATTATTACAATTATGATGTTCATTGATGTTCATTATCACTACATATTGTTATGTCGATTCTATTCTGATGGTTGATTGGGCCTTCCTATAAAGATCTTTCCACATCCGAGACCCCGTGAGAGGTGCCTCATGGGCACCATCCTCTGCCGCGAGGCCCTCTCCGCCGCTTCTTGCGCTGCCCGCCGCTGCGCCTCAGAAGCCCATGGGTTCCATGGTCCAAGGCGAGTAGATACCCTCGGGTGAACGACCATAGCCACGGAAAATCACCATTTTGAATCGGTAAATCAACGAAAATCAACGAGCTCAATGGGTTATATGTTCAGCTATGCAACAAATTACCAGAGGGTAATCATTGTGCCTTGGACTTGGTCTTGACATCTACCCTGCCATTTTTCCAGATCTTTTCCAAGGTGTCTTGATGGTGGGCATACCCCGTCCTAATCTAGCCATTAAGTTTGAACATTAGTCATTATAGTTAATCCATGTTAATCCCATTATAGTTGAGAATATCCCGTTGTCTCCTCGTTGAAGCCAAAAGCTTCAGCCTGTTTCATACGGAACTTCATCCAAGAAAGATGCACATGTCCACTTCAAGGTTGGACACATCCCCGGGGGTCAAATGGGAGGGAGCTTCTTACTACGGGAAATGGGATCATCCTACATACTATATTCGACAAGATTCGAAACCTCAAGGATTATCATAAGCTACATACTCTGAGTATACTCTTATTAGTCTTATTCCTATATATATACTATATATTGTATATATTATTATCTTTGTTGATAATATATCCTCATCATGAAATTTTCGCATTACTACCATCAGCATTTTTTGACCTCTGGTAATCAAATGTGGCTACCTAGAAAAACCACCATTTGGCTCGATGATTTTCCGACGAAACTATCCATTTATCGAAAAATCCCCCATATGTCCCCATGATTTTCCTATGATTATCCCATATGTTTCATACATTTCCCATGATTTTCCACAGGTTCCCATGAACTTCCCATTGTTTATGGGGGATTCCCCACCAAAAAAACACGAAAAAAAATCCCAGCGGATGGTCTGAAATAATCTCGCCACTTTCATCTCCTCAAGCTCGGCGATGGCCGCCTGCTTCTGTCGGGCCTGGCGCATCTTTGGAAATGGTGATGTTTAACAGAAAAAATGGATCAAACGGGAAGATTTTACTATTCATACTATTCATAATTATTCATACTATTCATACTTTAGCATCATGAATTTTCTGATCTGTCATTCACCAGCAATCACAGGGATTCATCGTGGTGAATAAGTATGATAATGATTCATTGTAAAGGGAAAACTGGGATTCACCAGGAAAAATGTGCATTTAACCCCGGTGCATTTGGACTTGTTGCTTTTAACCATGTTGTTTTGCTGATAGTTTAGGGTGGAGATACGGGGATACAATGGATACAAGTATCTATACAAGCCATCAACAATATAGGAATACCTGGAGATCTGGAGAATCAAGGAGCAGGATCCCAGCATCAAAAATATGGATTGTTTACCCAAAAAAGACAGCAAGGATGTGCATTCACCAGCAAACATTGAGATTTTACCAACATATTTAACATATTTGGTGAGTGACCACGAATACCAAGTGTGTGTTCAACCATCAACCCTTGAGGTTTCAGCAAAGAAAAACAAGGGGGAATATGCCCTCTGTGAATCAAAGATGGTAATGGAAGATCTTCAACCATCCCTCTGCAATGATGAAAACCAATGATGAAAACTATACGGACTGGGTGATGCACTTGCTTGTGTGTGTGTGCGTTCAAAAATGTGGCAGGGATTTCTGTTGGGAAGCCAAACAGCCAAACAAAGTAAACCAGGACATGTTCTGGATGTTCAGGCTTCCCCGAGTCTTTTGGCATACTGGTAAACTTTTCACACCACTGCGCCGATGCTCTGAATCCTGCCTCTGCTATTCTCATCTGATATTGCTGCAGCTCCTAGGTCTCTTGGGTGGTGTCAAGTTTGATTCGACACACTCATATATCCTGAACTAATCCAACATCTGACAAGAGAAGAGCCTGATGTGGTGAATGATCCCTGATTGATTCTCCACTGCCACCTCAGCTTATTAATTAATAATCGTACAATACCACATATATCATGTATATATATACATATGTATATACATACATTATAATATGTATGTTTAAGTAATTGTATATATATAGTATATGTGTATATATATATATTATTATATATATTCTCGATTATATATAACCATCAGCAAATCCATCCTTTCATCCTTTACCGCAAGCCCCCCCCTGTCCTCTTCGGCTTTCCTCTTCTTGGCAGAGGAGCCCGAGGCAGAGCTGGATGAGGAAGAGGAGGAGGAGCTCTTCCTCGTTGTTCCATCCATGGGATTTTAAGGGCGGAATCCATACCCTCTGGTTTTTAGGAACATGGCCATGGAAAATCTCCATTTTATATAAATATATAGGTAAATCAACTCTAAAATGGCCATGTTCAATAGCTATATTAAATTACCAGAGGGTAAAACCCAAACTGGGGGTTGAACCATGAAAAATTGGGATTTGACCATTGGATGTGACCATCAACCGTGGCGATAGTAAGATATATTAAGCATGTAATGGAGGAGTTTGGCCACTTTGACGGATGACATCAAAAATAGGGGATTTCGTTGTCAAATCATTCAGAATGGGGGTATGAACCAGCAATCATCGTGATATCTTGGTTGCTGGACTCCAGCCTAGCTATCACTGTTGGACGAGCCATAAGCAGGCTCCTTTTAGTGGTGTTTCCAGTGCGTTCGTCCATAGCCGTAGCCACATCACTCCATAATTCCACAAGCCCAAGTATCTTCTTCTTCTTTTTCTTTTTCTTTTTGTCCTTTTTCTTCTTGTCCTTTTTCTTGTCCTTCTTCTTGTCTTTTTTCTTGTCCTTCCAAGACCAAGCAGGTTCAAGCTTGAGCACAATCAACGCTGTCAGAAGTCTAGCGCTGTACAAACCATTCACAAGTTCACAAGATCCTTTCAAAGCAATCCAATCTATCCCCAACTGCCGTCATGTCCTTGCTACTGCCGGCACCAGGAATTGATGGGTTCATGACTTTCTTTTCCATGAAGTCCAAGGGGTGCACTCCCATCTTCTTTGCCTGTTTGAAGAACTGCCTCAGGAGATTCTGGCAAAATGGCTATAGATCAATAGCTATTAATACCATTTTTAGGGGGGTGAACATCCATTTACCAGCTATTTTAATGTTCACCAGGGGTACAAGGTTTTGACCCACTGCCAAATGGCAGAAAATGAAATGGAACATGCTGGAGGAAGTGGGAAGAAAATGGCAGAAAAATAAGGCCAGGCAACGAGGGATCGAAGGCTGGATCCATGGTGCTCAGCTTGTTGACGTTCACCTGGCGCTGATCCGATCCCATCCGATGCCATGAATGAAACACCACCCAGAAATCCCAAAAAGTCAGGGTGGTATTTGTTTGGATTAGGACTTTACTAGGGAATTTTAACGCATATTTGGAACATGTTGGAACCATAGAATGGGGCTGGTTGATAGGAGGATGGGATTACAAAGTGTTTACAGGCTTCCCTTTAATAATTGAACAGCTTGCTATGGAAAATGAATGAAAATGATCCATTTGTAGATGATTTATTCATGAACCATTGTTATTTTCCACGGCTATGTTAGATTACCAGAGAGTAATTGGGTTCCAGGGATCTCCCATGTGTGTTGGATATTAAAACCATCCCTTATATCCCAGCTACAGCCCCTCCAACATCCATGGCCAGTTATCATTGGATGTTCATCGACCTGCCAGCAATCTACCATAGCAATGAAAGCTCCCCAAGTTAGATGCTCTCATTGAAAGATATGCAATCATGACGATAGGAAAAAATATGACAACATGTATATATGTACATGTCCTATTAAAGTAGGAAAAGCCAGTTGTAATATGAGGAAAAAAACACATAATGTATATAATCTGATTAAGATGTGAAAAACGCATGTTGCAAGATGAAGAGAGAAAAAAAACAGATTGCCACGTGGTTTGTTTCCGCTCGGCCATGCCGCCCGCCTCTGGAGCAGCTCGGGACTGTCCGTGCCACCTCTTTCCCACAATCGCATCCTGAGCCAACTGTAGAACCATGGGAATTTAAACCCCAATAAGTTGGGATATAACTGTAACCCCTACAACTATGGTGAAATATATCCAAAAGGACGTGTTCACCCCACTGGTAGTTTTTTGTGGATCATTTTCACACACACCCATCATATCCAACAGGTCAAAGTCAAATCCCTATTGGTTGCAGCTTAAGGATGCTTTAACAAGCCCATTGTTCATCATTGTTCCGCATGTTGATGCTTAACGGCTTCACGCCAAATCCACAGGACAGACAGGACCGAGGATCCGTGACAGTTCTCTGCTTGTCAGCTTCCTTTCTTCGAAGTTCCGCCACTGCGGGGTGGACCCCAGCATCAATGCTGTCTTCCACAGTCTTTGGCTTCCAGACATAGTCAAAGAGTGACCTCATAACTGGGTCAATCCATTGGTTCAAGGGAAATTCTACGCGCCTGAAAGGTTTTTATCATCAACCCTGGGGGGCTCCTGTAGATTTTCCCTTCCAATTCTGGGATGGGGTGTCTGGGTCCATATTCCATTTGGATCTTAAGTAAATGAATCCTATTTGATGAACAAAACACTTAACATTAGTTATGTGTTTTGTGTTTTGAACTTTAGTCAATTTTAGCTGTTCATCAAGATGTTTGATAGTTCATAGCTCACAGTCAGGATGTTTATTCCTCTAGTTGCCTGTGTTTCCAGAAACCTACCCCACAGACAATACCCGCAACAGCTGACCCGTTGTAATCCCTTCCCTCCTAGCATTAAGTACTCCCCTGGGAACCCTGATTTAGCGTTGGATTTGTTCATTTTGGGGGGTCCATACCGGGGGTAGTTAGTATTAGGGGGATGGGATTATAGGGAGGCTTATCATAAAGCTGAGACCGGCACGCCATGAGCACTCTTCAAGCTGGCCGAACCCTGCCGGTTTTACGGCCAGCACTTGTGCCATGCCCCAACATCTGTCGGGATGATTGTCGGAAACCTCATTTTTGGTAACCTTTACAGTACTTTGTGGCCTTCCACTACTTGGGGATGTAATAACTTGATGGCTCTAGGGGTTCGAACCCAGAGACGTCGTTGATGACTCTGCGGTGATTCTGCTGTCCCGCAAAACTGGGTTGTCCATAAACCCTAGAAAAACATCCTCTCTCCAATTAGGGTGGTGGGGTTGGCGGCTGGGATTTTGTAGATACAAAGTGAAAAAGTGGGGGGGGCCTCTACAAATCACAAACATGGGTCAGATGCACACTTTACTGCTAGAAAAATCCCTCTACACAATCCCAAACTTGAGGGTCATGCCCATATACCCTAAAATAGCTCTACACGGTTGCGATTTTGTAGAGGAAACTCGTGTGGGTATAGAAAAACCCTAAATTAAAGAAGCCCTAAAACCCCAAATGAAGCCTGAAGAAAACCTGAAAAAAACCAATGAAAGTGTATATAGTGTTTGTAAAAGATCTTGAGAACTGCTGGACAAATGTAGCCGAGCCTGCAAGCTGGAATCCGCAGTGCATCCACAGATTGGCACCGTTTTCTTGGCACAAAGTATGTCAAACTGAGATGAGCTCATTGGCTGCTACAGAAATCAGAGCCTGGAGCCTCGCTGTAACATGTTCTAACTGAACCAATGAGTTGGAAATAGCGAACATGCTGGACGGTACAAGGTTGTTGCCATATTTTGCCAACAGCACGTCCCATGGTTGCATTCCCTTGAGATTTGGTGAATTCATCAATGCTTCACTTCCTGGTTGAGCCACGGCCAAGTGCATTGTGGAATCCAATGTTCCCAAGCGTCGACTGTCTGGAAATTTGAAGTGAGAAAAGCGATCTATGCGTTTGTTGGTTTTGATTCTGAGGAGAATGTGTTTCAACACGTAGCGAATCGAAGTAGATGCCTTGAAAAGGACTCGCTCTTGCTGGGGATCGAAGTGATAGACCCCCAAATTCATGGCCAATCTTCCAGATACCTTGATACAAAACCAAAATAAACCTGAATGTTTTGCCGCTGAGTACTGTTACAAAGTATTCAATCTGCATTTTCCTCCATTTGTCAGAAAAAAAACGACTCAAGCAGGGTTTACCAAGAAAAATCGCCACAAAAGTTGTCCCCCTTTGGTCCAGCACTGCCTTTACAGCTGTGCCTTTCGGCAGGGGAACTGTGTCTTCGTCCTCCTGCAGGTGTGGCAGCGGGGGGTCAACCTCCAGAAATTGTATGAAATATAATCAAATAAGCTTTGGTTGAACCTTGAAAAATGGGAAGTATATGGGGGGTTCCACAAATGGCCCCCAAAACGGATGGTTTATAGTTTATAATGGAAAATCCGATTTCTAAATGGATGATAACTGTAATATGACTGGTAGTATGATAACTGATATGACTGGGGGTACCCCCATGACTTAGTAAATTCCCCATAACTGGCGCCTCTCCCCAGGGGATTGTTTCCGAGAGTCCCGCAGCACGCACCTCGCGTCGGGTGAAGCCCCAGAAACACGGCGAACTCGGGATGGTTTATACCACCGATAATGTATTCAATGTATGTCACGTATGTAACGTATGTTCTATATTGTTCTACTATGTATACTAATTACATCTATCTATAGTTATATAGTTATATAAGTTATCTATATATATAATATGTATAGCATTAGATATGGTTTTTGGAGATTAGAAAATTATGTTAGAAACATCTCATTTTGGGAAGTTCTGTTGCATCTTTGATCCATTGCCGCAAAGGCAGCTGCAGTCGAAAACCCAGGCACCAGCGCAAACCGCTTCGAGTGCCTTCTTGCGGCATGTCGGCCTTGCAATGAAAAAGCCGGGAAGTCGGTCGCACTGGAAAAACGCTTCGGGAGGCCAAACCCCCAACCAGATGATCATTGGTAATATCCCCGGGATATTACCATTATCCGTTGCGGCCATCAGCAAGGGGGAGCGCGCCAGAGCAAAAGTACCGCCAACAGCACCACCACACCAGCACCAGCACCATCCAAGAACAAAGTCCATCCTTCAAGGCCACGCGGCTTTGCACTGGCAGGCTACCTTTTCACACGCGCTGGAGGCGGGTTTGGACCTAGTTACTAAGTTTTTGTAAAGTTTCAGAAGGCAGCGTTAGGCAGTGGAGGCCGCCATCCAAGCACCAGGTCCATCCTTCAGGGACATGCAGTTTTGCACTGGCGGAGGCTACTTTTTGGACGCTTGGCAGAAGGACGTGGAGCTAGTTTCAGTAACGTTCCAGACAGCAACGTTTGGCAGTGAAGGCGGCCATCCAAGCACCAGGTCCGTCCTTCAGGGACATGCAGCTTTGCACTGGCGGAGGCTACTTTTTGGACGCTTGGCAGAAGGACGTGGAGCTAGTTTCAGTAACGTTCCAGACAGCAACGTTTGGCAGTGAAGGCGGCCATCCAAGCACCAGGTCCGTCCTTCAGGGACATGCAGCTTTGCACTGGCGGAGGCTACTTTTTGGACGCTTGGCAGAAGGACGTGGAGCTAGTTTCAGTAACGTTCCAGACAGCAACGTTTGGCAGTGAAGGCGGCCATCCAAGCACCAGGTCCATCCTTCAGGGACATGCAGTTTTGCACTGGCGGAGGCTACTTTTTGGACGCTTGGCAGAAGGACGTGGAGCTAGTTTCAGTAACGTTCCAGACAGCAACGTTTGGCAGTGAAGGCGGCCATCCAAGCACCAGGTCCGTCCTTCAGGGACATGCAGCTTTGGACTGGCGGAGGCTACTTTTTGGACGCTTGGCAGAAGCACGTGGAGCTAGTTTTTGTAACGTTTCAAAAGGCAACGTTAGGCAGTGGAGGCGGCCATCCAAGCAGCGGGTCCGTCCTTCAGGGACGTGCGGTTTTGCACTGGCGGAGGCTACTTTCTTGGACGCTTGGCAGGTGGATTTGGAGCTAGTATTTGTAGAGTTCCAGATAGCAACGTGTGTATCGGGCGCCCAGGCTTTGATTTGGAGCTAGTTTTTGTAACGTTCCAGAAAGCAATGTTAGGCAGTGGAGGCGGCTATCCAAGCACCAGGTCCGTCCTTCAGGGACATGCAGCTTTGCACTGACTTGGCAAGAGGACTTGGAGCTAGTTTTTGGCAACGTTTCAGAAGGCAACGTTGGGCAGTGGAGGCGGCCATCCAGGCACCAGGTCTGTCCTTCAGGGACATGCAGCTTCGCACTGACTTGGCAAGAGGACTTGGAGCTATTTTTGGCAACGTTTCAGAAGGCAACGTTGGGCAGTGGAGGCGGCCATCCAGGCACCAGGTCTGTCCTTCAGGGAAGATTGTACAATCATCCCGCAGGTGGGGTATGGGTGCGCATGCACCCGCGATGTCGAACATGAAACTAAACTGCCTACCGCAGCCACCACTGCAACGATGCTTCACACGGCCAGTTTTGACAGTGCTCGTCATAATGTCGTTACAGAATAGGCATGTGTATTGGTAGATGGACACTGCCTCGGCTGGGTCACTGGGTTGCAAAATCGTCCAACGGAAGTAGGCACGGTGCAGAATGCGCCGCGGACACACAATTGCTTGCTTTTTGCACAGCCACTATCTGAATTTCACGTCGAACTTCTTCTAAAATTGATTCATGCCGTGGCGCTTGCCGCGCTCTCTCAATGGCGTCAAGCGTTGGTTCGCTATCTATCTATCCATCCATCCATCCATCCATCCATCCATCTATCGTTCTATATCGTTCTTTCGTTCTTTCGATCTATCTAATCTAATCTAATCCAATCCAATCCTATGTATCTATATATAATCCCGTATTCTTTCTTATCCATCTGGCTACTGCACTGCATCGGGTGATCTGAAGACTTCTCACGCCTCAAACAAGCATGCTTCCAAACATGCCGATTTGTTAAAGCATTTCTGTTGTACCAATGGTGTTCGTTATCAGCTTGATTAGTGGGTCAGCGGCAGGGGGCAGCCCTTAGATGTCATGGTTAAATCCCCCTGAGTCACACCCGGGTCACCCGGGTCACCTCTCCGAGAGAGGAGGAAGGCTCCAAGTGGAGCCCACACGATAAGACGACCTGGGCCGCACCGGGCCCAGCGGCCCGGCTTTGAGGTTTCCAGGGCTTCACCAAACCATGCGGAGATTGTCTTCGGACACACTGTGTAGAAAGGGGCACGGTGATACCTGGGAAATCCTGGGAATCTTCCAATTGTTTGGGGGAAGATATGGGAAGATGCCCTTGTGACCCTTGTGCTTTTTGTCGCTTCACCTTGGTAAGTGCTAGCGTCATGTTCACAAGGCAAAGCTTTGGAAGTGATAAAAGCACGTGCAACTGGGCCTTGACCAGAGCTCTGGTGTCCTCTCTCTGTCCTGTCAGTGCTGCAATCTTCGACTAGGGATGGGCCAAAAGCCTGCCACCCCAGTAAACGATATGGGATGTTCACCTACCCGTTCCGCACGTTTCGACCAATGCCCAATGATTTCAGTAGGTCCAAGTGTCAACTAGCAAGAACACATGGAAGTGGTGAAAAGAAACACATTTCACAAATGATGTCTGTGTCCACCATGCACCTTAAATCAAACATGGCGAAGGGAAATCCCATCGAACTCTTGCTGGTGAATTTTCCAGCAAGCCGTGCTTGACCGGAGGGTAATCGGGTAATATCCATATCAATCCATTCTGAATCACATGTTAATCCAGTTGTTTTCAACACGATCAATAGATATATATACATATATATATATATATATTATTGTATTATATTGTAGTGTATTATATTATATTATAATATAATATAATATATTATATCATAGTATATTATATTATATCATATTATATATCATATCATATTATATATATTATATCATATATTATATAATATCATATTATATCATATCATATCATATTATTTTATATTATATTATATTGATATTACATTATATTATATCATATTATATCATATCATATTACAGTATATTATTTTATATTGTATTATATTATACTACATTATATTATAATTATGATTGTATTATATCATATCATATATTATATCATATATTGTAATCATGTAATATGATATCATATCATACTATATCATATCATATTAGACTATTAGAGATAGATATTATATATATATATATTAACATACGTATATTAACCACTATGAAGGGATATTCACCTGGCATCACATCCACCCCCGCGTGCGGTCTCCTTGCGGAAGAGACGGGCGAAGGCTGCGACGGGATGGGTCCTTCAGTGTGCGGTGCCCAAAGCTTGGCCGGTCGGGCCTGGCCAAGGTGTCACTTGAAGCGATGGAAAAGTTCTAAGAACTGTGATGAATGGTGGATTAATAGTGGATTAATAGTGATTAATAGTGGATGAATAGTGGATTTTAATAGATTTTTTTTGATAGTGGATTGGAAAAAAGTTGAATATGAATCCACCATTAATCACTAATATCTGTTATAATATATATATATATATAATCCACTTGATGTTGGTAAATGTCCTAACTATTGGGGGGTGAAAAATTCACATCACCAGATTTTTCTGTAGCTGCTGGAGATGAAATATCCCCAATAGTTGGGTGATGTTTAATTGGAACATTCACCAACCCCTGAAGAAGATGAGAAACCACGTGGACGTGTCCCCCATAGATGGGCAATCTTAAGAGAGAAACTATGAGAAAATGTGGGTGTTCCACATACAAGCCAATATGTTGCTTACTTGAATGGTACTTCGAGGTACCTGAACTGATAAAAATCAGGACATGAACCAACCAAGTACAATCGGGTGTATGAAACGAACACATGGAGCTGTCTAAAAATTGGGATTGATGGACCTCAAACCCATGCATTTCCTTCACTCGAATAGATCCTCAAATGGTCGATTCCTGGTCCCCAGCTTTTGGAGCTGCCTACCTAAAGATCGTAAAGCAACCATTGATCAGACTTTTCTTTGTGTGATCCTTGAATTCGAACATGTGTTTGATTCATAGCTTGCCGAAAATGCGAAAATGCCACCCGAACGAGCACCTGTACCCCAGGAATGGGCAAATTGGGCAGCTGCGCCATGTGTCACTCTGCTTGTCTATACAGATTGGGTGGCTTGGGGTGCAGCTTTATGTCCAAATTTGGGGGCATGTTTCTGCCAATTTGTATTTCCAGGTGACGTCATGGCCAATTGAGAACTGGGGCCTGCCACACACCGGTGCGGTAAAGAACGGACAGCAACGGTTGCTGAAACTAAAGGGATATGGTGAAGTTCGCACCTTTTCGGCAGCTTTCCTCGACTTTTCGATGATGTTACTTGTGTATTTGGATCTGCTATGATCTGCTATCAGTTTTGATGGAAGGCCAAACTTTTGCCGATGGCCAGCCAGTCTCACAACACACCAATTCAGCGCGGTGCGCGCATTTTCCATTTTCGCTCAGGACGTGCACCACCAATTCAGCGGAGCAGCACGTCCCTGATGAGCCACGGTACGATGGAAACACATGACCAAAAACCATGTGTGGTAGCTTTGGGGTTGCTTTCGGTGTACAAATCTTGAGGGATAATATATGGGAATATGTAGATCATTGTAGATCTAGATCCAAAACAATCGAAAATCCATTTTCACTTTCACCACTTTCACCATTTGCAATGCCAGAAATGGTTTGTATGAACATCAACTTGTCAACCATCCCCAATCGGAGGTCTATCATTGGGTTTACCACTAAGGATACGAAACTTTCCTATCAGATCCTATCGCAACCCCATAACTCGACGCTGCGATTTTGCAGCCATGCAACTGGGCATGGCAAACTCCCAGTGCCTACTATGCAACTACCAGGGGTGTCTAAAGGAAATAGATCCTTGCCTCCGGCCGGTGGGAAAAACAAGAGTTGGGCTGTAGATGTTTGGAATGTTAGTTCATTTAATGAATAGGTACTGTGACTAGAGGTTAATAGTGGAATAGTTGGGTTACTAGTTGACCTGCAGATCATTTCGATTTGGAATGTGAGTCATATAATTCGTTCTTTAGAAACTGTCGATCTGGGATGTCGAAAAGAAACGAAGTCTATGAGGAAATATAGAAATCAGACAAGTTCCCACTAAGACTGGTCCAAAAGATGTTCAAAGGAGGATCTGCCCAATATCTACGGTCTACCCATCTGAAAGTAGCTGATTTTGGGATGATTTCCACTCAAGTCTCTCACCGGTCGGATGGAAGAAACACCCTCATTGGTTTCTCGCATCAGCAACACATGCTGAAAAGTTCTTGATCTACCTCAAAGCAGCAGTGTAGGAATCCAAATGGGTAAATGAATGAAACGAAAAAGCAACAACCTACTACCCAAAAAGAAGAAAAGGCTGTTAGAGTCCAAAACTTGGGATAGGATCCGAACTGACCCAGGAAATCATGGAGTTCAGCCAGGAGTTCATGACGAAAATCATTGCTGCACATCCAAGTGACGTCACGCCGGCGCCGTCACGCCATCGCAGGTCATGATGCCTGGCCCCAAACTCAACATGCTGAAACCAGGGCTATTGCGTCAATCCAAAAAGAAATAGAAAATTCCACAGAATATCCAATCAATTTGAATTTTGGATATTCCTTTTAAGCGTAGAACTCCTGATACCAGATGTTTTTCCAAAATATGTAGACTAATCTTTGGCAGTCGAGTCAAGTCCCCATGTTTATTGTCTGAATCCATCTTTTCTCGTCAGAATCATCTTCAATCCCCATATTTCAAGGATACCTCCTAACAGGCTTCAATCCCGAATTTTTCCAAGAAAAAAATGGTTGAATCAAGTTGAATCATCATGTTTCCTGGATTTGTTTTAAAAAAATGTGTCCTTGGTTTACTTGTTTTTCCCGGGTCAAATCTCCCTTTTTCCTGGCAAAAACCAGCATTTTTCCATCCACCCCATGTCTTCCCAGAAAGGCAAGCGCCTCCAGTCGCTTCCGAACTTCCCGCCACAGGCTCCCGAGGCGTTGTTCGAGGACCTCAAAGGCCAACGTGTGGCACTTTGAAGCCACCGAGAACTCCATTTGCTGGGTTTTCAAAACAAAAAAATGGATGATCACCATGTTCCCCCATGAAAGATATATGAGGATATGGCCATATATTGGGGATCATTGACCAAATCCTCATTGTGCTGTGTATATATATATATCCTATTCTTGCACAAAACACCAAAAAGTTTTTTGGAAGGCAGTGACTGACTGTACTCCAGGTGTATGGATCTTGGAGACAGAAGGATAATTCCCACATGGAGGGCCTTTTGCAGGAATGGGTTATGTGCACAAATAGTTCAAGGATGGGCTTGAAAATTCGTCGTTTCTAGAGTATCCCAAATGGGTTTGTCTGAGAATCAGGTACCTTTCAGACACACTCAACTATCATGTGATGGTTCTTTGTATCCCATTATCCCCACAATATGTTCATTACAGTAATGTTCATATCCTAATATAAGACAGGGACTGGCGATGGATAAGGAACCGGAAAACTACACTGAGCTACCAACATGCCATGTGAGCGGCGCCGAAAGAGTCCTCCAACCTGCAAATGCTTTGTGTACATTGTGATTTTTCAAACCAAACTTAATCCTTCAATGACCTTCCATCTCTGGAAGCTGTGTATATATATATATACATATATATATATATACATATATATATATACATATAAATATAATACTGTATGTAGTGTCCAATGACCAATCGCCCCATCATTCTTCATGGTAAATCCGTGTAAATCCTCGTCATTGACATTTTGCATCTCCACCATTGCAACATGTCTCCGGTGCTACATACCCATTTCATCCCATTGCTGGAGAAGACCCAAATAATGCAAATAATGCAAATGTTGGTCGTGTATATATACACTCATATCATATATCCATGTAAAATCCATATCCATATTCATACAATTGTAAATAACACGATCCATCTAAATCTATATCCGCCCTCTTTATCCTCGTTATTCTTGGCTTTACACCAATTTTTTGGGGTTCAACTAAGGCTGCAACCGTACTCTTCCAGTTCATCTAATCCTTGTCCTGCACGTAGACGCTGGCAATGGCTGTCGGGCGCATCCATTGTATATGTAATGTAGATACATGGAGATGTTATACAGTATATGTATCTGCATATATGACTATGACTACAGGTGTCCAGTTGTAGCGGTTTGCGGAGGTTGGCAAGTTGGTTTGCTAACCTCTTTTGTTACAAACGGGAAACCGTAATTTAAAACCATAAAACACGCCCAAAAGTTGCCAAACATTCGCTACTTTCTTTCAATTTTGAACTGCTAAGCACGAGCTAAGCACGAGGCGTAGATCTAACCAGATTTGGGCCCTGAATCCCATGGTTTATCATCGTTTTCACCCAGTGAAACCCTGATTGGGATTTTGGGATCCCCAATCCTCCTGCATTGGACATGTAGGCCACTACAGGGCACACTTCCTGAGGATGTTTGCACTCTGAGGAAGTTTGCCTGTTGGTAATCTAACCTGCCCGTGGAAAAGAATGGTCATGTATATATATATATACATATATACATATATACATATATACATATATACATATATACATATATACATATATACATATATACATATATACATATATACATATATACATATATACATATATACATATACATATATATATATATATACGTATATACGAACATATATACATACATATATACATACATATATACATATACATACATATATACATATACATACATATATACATATATACATATATACATATTTACATATATACATATATACATATATACATATATACATATATACATATATACATATATACATATATGTATACATATACATATATACTGTTAAATTTCACGAGGTCTTGGGGATTTGGGATTTTTAGGGTATATTGGGTTTCAAAGTCAAAATGCATCATTTCGAGCAACCTGCGCGCAGAAGGGTCGTGAGACAAAATGTTGAATGTTGTGATTTTTGTTGAATCGGTGGTCCACAGGTCCAACTGGCGTTCCAGAGAAACTGAAACAGTCGGAAACAGTCGGAAACAGTCGAAAACAGTCGGAAACAGTCGGGAGCGGCCCGGCGTGATCATGCCAAAATTGTCAATCCACCATTTTTTTGCCAAAAAAAAACTTTCCGCGCAATCCCATTTTTTTTTTGAAAGTGCAACGGGAAACAGTTGGAAACAGTTGGGGCTCGTACCTTTGACTCGGCAAAAAACGAGCTATTTAAAACCATTTAAGGGTCATTTTCTTTATAAACTGGTTTTAAATAGCTCTTTTTTTGCCGAGTCAAAGGTACGAGCCCCAACTGTTTCCAACTGTTTCCCGTTGCACTTTCAAAAAAAAATGGGATTGCGCGGAACGTTTTTTTTTGCAAAAAAATGGCGGATTGACAATTTTGGCATGATCACGCCGGGCCGCTCCCGACTGTTTCCGACTGTTTCCGACTGTTTCCGACTGTTTCCGACTGTTTCCGACTGTTTCCGACTGTTTCCGACTGTTTCAGTTTCTCTGGAACGCCAGTTGGACCTGTGGACCACTGATTCAACAAAAATCACAACATTCAACACTTTTCCTCACGACCCTTCTGCGCGCAGGTTGCTCGAAATGATGCATTTTGACTTTGAAACCCAATATACCCTAAAAATCCCAAAACCCCAAGACCTCACGAAATTCAATAATATATACATATATACATATAAACATAAATACATATATACATATATACATATGTACATAAATACATATGTACATAAATACATATATACATATATACATATATACATATATACATGTATACATATATACATATATACATATATACATATATACATATATACATATATATACATATATATACATATATACATATATACAAATTTAAATATATACATATATACATATATACATATATACATATATACATATATACATGTATACATATATACATATATACAAATATACATATATACATATATAAATACATACATATATACATATATACATATATACATATTTACATATTTACATGTATACATTTAAACATATATACATATATATAT